CGTTTTAGTACAGGTTCGACTATCGTGATTCTTTCCACATTTGACACAGCTATACGGAAGCGTACAAGAACGAAAAATGTGCTCGTAGGACTGACATCGCTTGCATTGTACTATTTCTTGTTTTTTACGCGGTGGTTCAAAACTTATTTTTGCATGTAGTACGTATTCGACGTCATATATTTTTTGTTGTTACTTTGAGGTTCTAAGTCCACAAAAAACATTGATAGAGATGTTTTTGTGCATTGATAGAGATGCACCTTAGCGAACTTGACTACCCAGATCAGCACCGTCTCGTTCGTTACAAGGGCGAAGAACCAAATAAAGGTACCCAAATCAACTCCTTCACATTAGTTTCGATAAGTGAGAAGTACCAAATAAAGTTGCCATAGGCGTGTGAAGCCAAAATCAAGAGGGGGCAACTATATATTTGAGTCCTTCTGACTCCCATTGGGTTCCCTTATCTATTAGACATTTCTAAATAACGTATTTTACTACCAGATAAACAAAACAAGAAATAGGAAATGAAAAGCTTTAATGATACAATTAATAATATTGATATTGAACCATTAATATTGACATTGAACCCCAGATGCATCAAATCTTCAAATTCCCAGCAAAAAAGGGAGAAATCATGAATTGATAGCACTTAAGGAAAGGAAATGTTTTATAAGGTGCGCCTGGGGGAGCCTTACCTGCGGCGCCAGCCCAGCGACGCCGGCGTACGCGATGCCCTGCGGGATGGCCGTCATGCCCACCGTAAGCCCCGCCAGGAAGTCGGCCACCAGCCAGCCCACACTGTACTGGGGCAGCCACGTGGTGATAGGCAGCTTCCTTTTGAAGAACGTGGCTGAGCACGCGCCCTTGCACTGGTGGCGCAGGCACTCGCGCACGTTCACCTCCTCGTCCTCGAACTCGGGAAGAGGGCAGACGACCGTGTCACCTGCATCCGAGCACAGCCCAATTAATATCCCAAGGTGCCCTAAGGATTAGCTATTTCTCAGGGGAGGAAAGGGAGGAACGACTTTCATATTTGAGGGAAAAGTTGGATTTATGAGTTGATGACTACGAGGAAATTTATTTTGATCGACTTTCTAGAGTATCACCACAGTCGTATTTTCTTTCCTCAAAAATGCTGCTTCATCCATAGATCAAGACAAAACACCTATTGGAATATTTGTAGATCTTTCAAAAGATTTTTACAGCATTAATCATAACATTTTACTTTCAAAATTATCTTCGTTTGGGATCCGTAATATTGCTCTAGATTCGTTATGTTCGTATCTCAAACAACGATATCAGAAAGTAGAAATACCTCACTGGAATGATGGAGGAGTATGTATACATCTTTCAGATTCATTGCCAATTACACATGGAGCCACGCAGGAACAATTTTAGGCCCCATTCTCTTCATTCTGTACGTAAACGATATGCCCTCGACGATTCAAAAAAGAAGAACAGTTCTTTTTGCGAACCGTAAAAACCGTAAATAATACAATATCATATGTTTCTCCAGATACTATCAAACGTATTCATCAGGTGTCAGTATCTACAGCTCACTACAAAAAAAAAATTACTTACAATTCATGTTAATTATTTTACAACACTTTGCCAGATGGCAAACGATTAATATCGATACAAAAGTTAAAGTCTCAAATATAGTCTTTTCTGCTGCATAACTATTTCTAAGAAATTAGAGACTATACTGAGCATCAAAAAGAAAATGAATATTAATTATAACAATGCCATTTAAGATATTATTTACCATTTGCACTATATAATTCTAACCCGCCAGTAACTAGTATTTTATTTCAGTTTGTGAGTCAATGACCCCATCTTAATCAGGTTTTTCGTTCAGTTTCTCTGATTCCTTGAGCAAATGCTGTGAAGGCGCCTTATTTTGCTTCTGGACATCAATGTAACTTCATTATCTGTGCTCATTTTATAGAATCCAGTTGGGAAATATAGTTATTCAAATTATCGTTATTGTTGTTGTGGCCAGAAGTATTATTTCTTCACGAAGGACATGAAGGATAAGAGATCAACTTTATAGCTGAGTTACCCTTAAAAATATATTTTCTTACATCGGTGCGAATATTTTGTTGACAATTATTGACAAAAACGCTCATTTCTTTCTGTATTAAGAATTCATTAGGGAAGGGATCCCAGAATTAAGAAAGCGTGCACTGAATTCACTTCTCTTCATAGAATGTCACACATAGATTAACTGTTTATGACGTAAAATTAAATGTACCGTCGGGATAGCCGGGATCGCTAAGGCAGTACCGGGGCGATGTCGGATGGATTGCGGGTTCGTGTCCTGCCTCGGACTAGATGCATTTGTGTATGTCTGTATGTTGTTGGTGTATGTTGTATTTGTATATGTCTGTGTGTATGTCGCGCGCGTCAGGTGGCGATGCGTGTTTTATAAAATTATATTGAATATAACTCAGCTACGAATAATGCCAGGGAACGTGATTATCCACTACCTGCAAGCGTTTTCGGAGCACTCTGAGGGATGCAGCCCTATTGTATCGGGACAACCCACACAAAGCCGTAAGCGGTGATTCATGGGAAAATACGGAAGCCACTGCCTCCGAGCGCCGCATCGCCACTGCACCCTTTTTCTCGGAACTAGGAAGCGTTCAAGGTTCGCAGAATTTGTAGGGCATCCGTCAACGACACCGCGATAGGGGGGAAGAAACCGCGTGATGCGCGGCCACCAATCGCTGGAAGTCATGTGGAGAAGGGCCACATGACCTGCGAAGCCGATGAGTCAACTAAAAGAGCTATCTCTGCCATTCCGATCCGATTCCGATCAGGGAGACAAGAAGAAGTGAGCCTTGCCGACGGGGGGGGGGGCGAGGGCGAGTTGCTTTGACTCACGCGAGCACGCCAGCGGATGCATTGCCGCATCGCCACATTGCAGACCGCTTCTGTGGACGCTGTCTCTAAACAAACGCAGTGGGCCAGGACTAAGGGCTCGACTGCGAGCCCAGAGTGACGACGGGCCGAGGCGTGATTAACGCAGCCACGAACCGCGCCGCCGATGCCCAGACCAGAACTGTTGGCGCCAGTTGACGCCACCACGCCGCATCGACGCCGTGGCCACCGGGAAGGACGCGCCGTCGACCGCACCACGCCGCCCGACCGCCTTGCTGATGGGTAAAGGGGTGAGGCAATGTGCAGCTTGCCATCGACCGCACCTCGCCAAACGCCGGGGCGCCGGGCCAACGCTCCCACGGGAAAGGTCGTGACCGCCGGGGAGGACACCGCCCGACTGTCAATGGTGAACTCCGGCCCGTATGGTCATTTAAGATAAGATTTGATACAGGATAAGTTTTAGCCTGAGGTTTCACCTCGTTCAAAAAGGGACAATAAAATAACATTTTTTAAAATAATGAAACAATGTGTTTAAATGTAGTAGTAGCATTAGAGTTAGACCGCCTTTAGGGAATCACGCCTTTAGGGAATCTGCGGACTGAACTCACAGGGCAACGCAGGATCGGACGAAATACAGGTAATAAGGTGAGTTGGGGCAGCCACAAGAAGGGTGTGGCTACAATGAGTGTGTGGTCCTTTCACCCCTCATCATAATCATTTCATCTTACACACCCGCAGGCCCAACAACTCTAGGGGATAAAAATCGGAACCAGTTAAAATGTTAATCCCCTGGTAAAGTTACAAGCACCTGCCACCGAGATAATGGGGCTGAGCCCCGGTCAACGCAGGGTGCAAGTCGGAAATAAAAAAATGCATATATCCACGCTTTATGCCTACGTCAAAACATTAGAAATCAACCGAACTCGCGGCGATCCTTCTCTCATGTGTTCATCGTCCATCGCTCAAGGCTCCTGAGGCCAATAGAAAAAAACGTTTGAAATGGAGCCATGTGGTAGAAGTTGAGGAACACTTTCCTTGATGTGTCATCTACAGATGATTCAGGCTTTGTTGCTAATACGCTGGAGCCATATCCCGTAATTTACAGTCTGAATTTACCAAAATTGGACACTTCGTAATTTAGTTTTGTAAATAATTAACACTAAACTTTGTACTATGTGGTTTTGCTCGTGTAACACGGGCTATGACAGGTGAGCGTTAGGGCTCCCCACTTCTCTGGAAAACTCGGTTATAAATGCTATCCACTAAGCCCCGGAAGCGAACGGAAGGCAAATAGTGCGCGAGGACAACGCAACAGTCTCTCACCTGGCAAACAATTAATACTGAGAGATCACGATCTTTCCATTTTCAGTGGCTTCAGAATTTGCGCACTACCCACTGATAACGTCGTTCTGAATTCTCGAGTCATTTCCTGTGCAAATGCAAGGAAAACCAGGAATTTATGAATTCTTTGTTTGGCAGGTGTAATAAACGAACGGGCACAATTAATGTGGATAATTTGCATGTGTGGCCTGAGGAAATGCAGCATTCCCATGCCGCACGTAGCGTAATTCACCCGGAGTGATTATCTGTAATTGTGTGGATGACATTTTGGGTGAATTTATCATCGGTTCTTACTTCTTTCCGGAGTGTTTGAGAGGTGTTCAGTATAGAGTAAAGTAGTGCTGGAGGTAACTGACACCATAATCCTTGCAGCGTTGTCCATAAACTTGTAAGAGTACGAGGGTGTGGAGATCTCTTCTGAACAGCATGTTGCAAGGCAGCCCAGATATGCTCTCTAATATTCACGTCTGGATGTTTTGGTGGCCTGGGGAAGTGATTTAATTCATAAAATTGTTTCTGGAACCACTCTGTAGCAAGTCTGGACGTGTCGGCTGTCGCATTGTCCTGATGAAATTGCCTAAGTCCGTCGGGATGCACAATGGACATGAATTGGTGCAGGTGATCAGACAGAATGCTTACGTTTGTGTCACCCCTCAAAGTCGTGTCTACACGTATCAGGGGTCCCATTTAACTCCAACTGCTCATGCCCCTTTCTCTCTCAGAGTCTTCACCACCTTGAACAGTCCCTTGTTGACATGCAGAGTCTATGAATTCATGAGGATGTCGCTTTGTTGCACACGTCCATCCGCTAGAACCAATGTGAAACGAGACTCGTCAGAATAAGCAAGTGTTTCCAGTCATCATCAGTCCAATGTTTGTGTGGATAGGCCACACGATGCGTAAAGCTTTCTGTCGTGCTGTAATCAAGAGTATACGTGTGGGCCTTCGACTCCGAAACCCCATATCGATAATGTCTCGTTGAATGGTTCGCACGCTGACACTTCTTGATGGCCCAGCATTGAAATCTTTAGCAATTCGCGGAAGAGTTGTACTTCAGTCACATGTAATGATTCTTCTCAGTCGAGGTCGGTCTCGTTCTTGTACAATCTTTTTACGGCTACGGCAATGTCGGAGGCAGCAGTAACTGATCTAACAAATGTGCCAGACTCAGGTTTTCTTATATAGTCGTTGCCGACCGGAGCGCCGTATCTGATTGGTTGCAGATCTCTTTATTTCTATATACATGGCTGTGCCAGTATTTCACTTTCCCGTACACGTAAGTATATACGGAATACTACGCGTAGTATTACTCGCGCAAATTTCTTGAACGATGGCCTTGCTTCCCCCTCTCTGGAACAATAAACACACGAAGGCAAAAGTTGGCAGCGAGCACTGATGACAACATTACAAACACATCTTCACTGGCGCGAAATAGAAACAACTTTCTTTTGAAGGCGAGAACTTCTATCAGTGTTTTCTCCAAAAATTTAAAGAAATGACCGAAGTCGGTAAAGATATATCACAGGATGTACATCGAACTCCTAAGAAATGTAGAACGCAAATTATTGATAACGTTGCGAAGGCATGACTGATCCTCCAAAGATTGGCATCGCTTCATAAAATCTAACGGTAACGATTTCGTAACTAATACACCACTCTACCCACATTTCTTCAACCCATTGTTCAAGAAAAGTTACGCCATTACTATAGGGAAAGTTATGTAATTTTGCGGAAAGTCCATTTAGAGATTTCAACGGAAAGACATGTTTTGGGGTCCCCTGATACCAAAAATGGGGTTATTTTCAAAACGTCCGTCTGTCCGCCTGCCTCGTATGTATAACACTGAAATCTTTGCAGATAGATTTTTCAAACTTCTATGTCGAATTCTTCAAACTTGAGAGCGTAGGCTTCCGCGGCCGGAGTCAGTATTTACTAGGCTGTCCGGGTGACGCCGCGTCCATGGCGAAGGTGCCGACGTTTCGGTCTGAAGCATTACGCCCTGAGGAATGTCGCAGATTGGCGACCGAAACGTCGGCACCTTCGCTATGGACGCGGCGTCACCCGGACAGCTTAGTAAATTCTTTTAACTTGTCTGTCGTAAAATAAATGATGTATTGTTCATTTCATGTCGTGTTCCGGCATGATATACGGCTTGGGTCTCGTGATACAAGTGTTGTTTTTTTCAAATCGTCCGTCCGTCTGTCCGTCAGTCTGTCAATCAGTGAACACTACAAGCGCCTAAACTATACGTAAGATTTCTTGCAAAATGAATATTCCGGCTTCACGAGGCGTCGCGATTTTGAAAAACTTTCTTCATAATTTAGATTTTGAAGACTCCCGAACATTTCGAAATGTTCTCAAATACGGCTCAACATTTTTTCTTTACATTTCTTGTAAGAATAGGGTAAAATACACTTATAAAGGTGGCATAGTCCAGATTTTCACGGATAATTCTTAATTTTCGAAAATTGCAAAATTTTGAACGTTTCCACGTCGTCCTTGAACTACAAAATTGAAGATAGATATTTTTCCTGAGGAAAAATATAAAATTAAAACATAAAATTTGTTTTTCATAGTGAGGTCTTTCATTAAAGTCATGTACATTTTTTAACACTTTTAGTAGTTTTAGCGCAATATTTCATGTAATATATGCAATTTTAAAAAAATTACAAAAACAAGATTTTTCAAAAACGGTTTCATTTTTTTAACGTTTTGGTAGGGATATTGCTAAATGCACTCTATAAGATGACATAAAATCTGCTTACTTCTTTTGTTTCTAAAAAAATACACAAATGTAATTTTTTGAAACATCTCTAACGGCGTTAGTATGTACATTTCGAGCAATTTGTGAACGCTAATGTATTTCAGTGTGTATTCGTGTTTTAAATGACTTCTTATTAAGGTTTTCGAAAACTCAAGAGTTTTCTGTGAAAAAGAGCTTTACATTTCGAATTTACAGTAGCGCTGAAACGCGAGTTTTTTAAAAACGGTTCCAATTTTTTCAAAGACAATTGCTATTTAGAACGAATTTTCACTGTTCTTTAATATTCTTAAATAATATTTCCATTCTACTATTACAAAAACTTAAAAACTTAAAACATTGAAAACGTAAAAGCATCGATCACAAAACAGGCGCGATGGTGATGGTGTAACGGTTCGTGTTTCGGACTGATGTACCCAAGTTGGCGGGTTCAAACCCGATCGAAGCCGTGGATTTTTAAGGGCGAAAAAATCCTTCGTACGCCTTCCTTCGGGGAGGAAGTAAAGCCGGCTGTCCTATGTTAGTAGATTTACTTGCATGTAAAAGATACCCAAGCCTAAATGACGCCTCTGAGCTAAATTCAAATCACCTGTTTCTCGCCCAAGAAATACCTCCTTTCTCTGCTAGATGGTGGAAGGAGCGTAGCGAAATTTGCGTGGTCAGACGGAAGAGCAGGCCTAATGGTCTGAGTCTCGCCACGTAAAATCAAGGCTTCAATTAAAACTTAACATCGATCATCGATAACAAATTCAAATTTAACATCGATCATCGAGTATTGAAAGTTTGAAACATTGATTGAGTTTAAAACGTCAATGTTTTATATAGAAAGACACCGAAGAATATAGAAAGACATCGATGTCGTGTTTTGAAACCATCGATCTCGGATCTCTACCGCTTACCACTGGCTTCAATGAGCCTGCTGTGTTCCATGGCGGCAGCACGACGCGGCGTGCTGGTCAGGCGTCGGGTCGGGTCTCTGCGGCGTACTTGAAGGTTCAGCTGTCGCGTCGGCGGCGCTCACGACGGCCTTCGGCGGGCGGCCGCGGCGGCGGTCAGCGGAAACAACTGCCGACGCGCGAAGCAGCCACCCGTGAAGCTATCTCCTGGATATCCCGGTCCAGTTCCTGGCTGGGGATGAGTGCTTGGCTTCTGTCTGTCGATGGCTCCCCCCCCACCCGCATTGTTCTCAACGGGTGACGATTATCGCGTTACGTAACACAGTGACCGCAGGATTTGTTTACCTTCAACAGGACGTTTCAGGCTGACATGCCGTTTGCCTTATCTTGAGTCAGAGCGACGTCAAACTAAATGCTAAATCTATGGGCTCGTCTTATATTTACGTATTTTATCATTGAACTCCGATTTGTTTTCCTTGTCAGAGATTGCACGCTGATGTGCTTAATTCTCGTGAGATGGCAGCACTCTTGGCGTACAGAGGACACAAAGTTCGTCTGACGGCTAACAGAGAGCTGCTGCAGCACGATCTCTGCTGGTCAGAGTTGCAACGGCGAGGCGTGCCGACGTCCGTAGCAGCGCTGACGACTCAAGGTCAGGGTTTCTATCAGCTGACTGGTGGCAGTCGCCGCCACCATCAAATCCGTTGCTGCGCTGTGGCTGGTTACGAGGATCCGGCTTTCGCACACAACGAGAACCGGATTAAGCCATTTTAAGAGTTTATATCCAGCTGCATCACCCCAATATTATAATTACTACACACCCAGAAATGGTTCGAAAACCACACTCCATGGGGTGAGGTCAACCAGAGAGATTGCGTCATAAAATCGATTGCGTCATTGAGCCAAGTTTCATAATTAAAAAAGAATACGGTTGATCTGCTGGTCTGCCAGCACCAGCCAGCTTAAAGAGACAGGGGCACACAAAACTTGGAAGTAAGAAGATTTATTTTCTGTTATGTCACATCATAAAAGGTCCCGGAAAAACTAGAAAAAATTTCCCCCAAACAAAATAGCATATGAGTACATTATATAAATAAAAATAATAATTTTGATTGGTTTCGGAGCGTCCCCGTCCTACGACACTGATGCACCTCTACAGCCAAAAACTTTTTTTTGTTTAATTTTAGATAACTTCAATCTAGTTTATTTGATTGAAAAAAATATACAAAATAAGAAAATAAACAGCGTACCCTTCCGAGAATTCTCGCATGATAAAGTCCACTCACTTCCCTATCTTTCTTTTTCCATATTAAAAGGGAAAGTTGTTAATGAAGCGTGATTATTTGTTTAAAACATTTAAAAAGTTAATTTCCAATGTTTAAAACCTTCACTTACAAAGAATTTTAAATAAAAATTACGAATATTGAAATTGATGTTTGAAAGACATTTTGAAACCGGTTTATTCATTATTATAGGCATGTTCTTGAAACAATTCACAACACTTCCTTTAAAACAGCATTTGAAGTAAGTACACAATCTCTCTTGATAGCCTTTCTCTATCCTTGATAGTCACAAAAATATTACAAAAGCTTTTCAGCCTCGAGAAGCTACTTAAAGCTGTCCATGCGAAAATACAGGATCGGGTCAGCGTAGTCCTACTCATCGTAATATTATTTAACTTAATTACCGAAGAGAGATTCAACCGTGCAATTTAATCGCCTAGCATATCAAGTAATTAGTTTCCTGTCACATAGACTTGCAGATTTTGTAGGTTACTGATTCTGCAATTTCTGCAGATTCTGTAGACACTAAAGGTAATTTCACAAACCTTTCAGAGAAACAAGAATGTCAGTACTTACATTCAATAAATGAATGCACTATACACATAAAAAGGAATCCTCATCTGCATCAAGCATTACTTCTCATTGTTGCTGCGAGAGTATTTAGGTTTATTTGCATAGTCTTGAATTAATTATTATGCAAATAAACCTCACCAGTCGGCGCAAACCAGTATACACAGAAAGCATAATATAAGTTGCAAAACGTTATGAGCGTGACGTCACATAGATCGGCTCTAGTGCCTAGTAATATAGTTGGGAAATATCGATAAGCGCCGCACCAGCAAAAATGGAATAGAATGTCCAATAATTTCGTATCCTGTAGATTACGGCGTAAGACCCTTGTCCTCAAAATTTCATTTACGAGTATTCAGGCCCTAAAACGCTTCGTTTAGGAGTTATTTAACTACATAAATTTTGACAATACTGTCGAGTGTGGGTTGCATTTGAAATGAAATGAATATATAGGAAAGTCTGTGCTATTCTATTGACCACTAGTTAGTTAACAGGGCCCGGCAATTAATTTTTTTCTGCCCAAAATCCGCCGTTTTTTCGCGCAGCAGTTCACAGCGCACATTTTCAAAAAAATTGAACATGCCCTTATTTGAAGATCTATTTTTGATAAACACATCCTCTCCTGTCATTGTTTTGCACCAACACCCCCTAAATATACAGTTTCTAGGTGGTGTTGCTTGCATTCCACAGTTGTATGATATCTTTGGACTTTATCTATGATATCTATGAACAATATTATAATTTTATGAATAAGGGCATGAATAACACAGATCTTTAAGAATTATTTGCCTCTGGTATAAAAGAACGATAAAGGCCACTACACCGTCGGCAGACCGTCAACTTTATGTGCTCGTACATCAGTACATTAGTAAAAGTACGAGAAGCCAAGTACGAGAAGCCATAAATTGAATTAATATTGACAATTGCAATAGAAAATTATAATTAAAATTAAATTAATTACTTTTCATATCATTCATTCAATTTCTTCTCATGAATCGTAGTTGGCGTGAAACCTATTAATTTCTTTAATTTCAACCAGAAATAACGCAAAAACTACTCATTTTTCCAAACAACTATACACGATATTTTTAAATAGTTAATTTTGTACAACAGACTTTGTCTGTAGCAAAAATATGTATCATTAATTTTGTAGTTTTGAAGTTTGCAATTTTCGACGAAAAGAAGCAATACCAGAAAATGAGACTAGCGCTATAATTCTTACCGTTTCTTTTTGTAAATTTCAATCGCAAAATACGCAAAAACTACTCTTTTTTTTCAGAACAATTGTTTATGCCCTTTCTTTAAGCTCTATTTTTTTTACAATAGAGTTTGTCTGGGACAAAAATGTCTATCTCTAATTTTAAAGTTTTATTTTTCCTTTTTTCCAAAAAATTGGAGATGACAACGAAATATGCATCTTCACCGTTTTCTTAAATGTCTTTTGCACTATTCAACAACAAAATGCATTAAAAAATTTGAATCATTTTTTTGGAAACTTAAAAATATCCCAGAGGTTTCATGTAAAAAAACAAAAATAAAATTTCGATTTCAACTTCGAGGGTCCGCGACATCAGCTAGAAAAATTGGGGAATATCAATTTTGGAGAAAATCGGCTGCACAATACTAGCTAGCAAACGGACGGACAGACACACAAACGTTTTGCCGTCAATCGATTTTTGGATGAAGGACCCACAAAATAAGGATTGTGGCTACACCACGTGTTAGAATTTTTTTTCAATATTCATCAACTGGGCTTATCCACTTCTTCGTTACCAGTGCCCGGCAATTAGAGTTTTTGTGTCGAAATCTCGCCGTTTTCCGGTGCACGATTACATTTCTGTAAAATATCAGGAGGGATTCATGTGAAGAACTCCCAAATGTTAAAGAATGCTTTGGAAATCTCAAAAATTCAACTCAAGCTAGATGGACATGTCTTTCTTCAATTTGGAAAAACGTCTACGTATGGTTTAGGCGCTAGTGGTGTTCACAGACGGACGGGAGACAGACAGACGTTTCGAAAAAAACAACACTTTTTCGGTATCAGGCAACCCCAAAACGTTTATTTCCGTTGAATTCTCGCAATGTGTTTTTTTCCGCAGCGTTACACAACTTTTCCTATACTACGTATATTACTCGGTGTATACGAACATATATGGGAAAGTAAAAGAGAATATGTAGCGGTAGATCAGACTTCATCATACAGACCACTGTGCCTCCTTAATACCATGGGCATGCTGCTTGAGTATTTAATACTTTCTAGGTTTTAGGGGCTCATATGCTTTTCTCATAGGCAATATGAATTCCGGAGAGGTCGCTCGACGACGGATGTCATACTGAAAGTAATCGATAAAGCAGACGCAGCCAGAAGAGGAGTCGGCACGAAGCAGGGATTCTGTGCACGAAGCAGGGCGCTCGTGGCAATTGACATTATAAACTCCTTCAACTCCGCTAGGTGGAAGGACATTATAGAAGTGTTAGTTAAGATGATTCCGGAATATGCCACAAGGATGATTGAAGACTACCTCCAAGAAAGGACGAAAACGTATATGGACAGTATCAGGATAGAAGAGAATGTGACGTGCGGTGTTCCTCAAGGGTCCAGACATGGGCCATTTTTATGGAATGACCTGTATGATGACATTATAAGCACTGACCTCTCAAAAAATACGCGACTCATAGGCTGTACTTATGATACGCTAATAATAAGCCACAGTGATGACATTAAACTCCTCGAATTGAGAGTGAACGAATGTTGTTTAGGGTTAAACAATGGTTAGATAGAAGACAGCTACAGATGGCAGTGCAAAAAACCCAAGCTATCTTAATCACCGACCGGAGGACCTTTCACTACCAAGACCACCGATTGGGAGGAGAGAAAATCAACTAGAAGCGTCAGATAAGATATTTAGGAGTCGACAATAGACTCAGCTTCGTGCCCCACGTAAATGTGATGGCAGAGAAGGCGGTAAGAATACCACCGAACATCGGTGGACCGAGAGAAGCCAAGAGGGTCGAGGTTCGTTGGAGAAGCAGTCTATCAGACACAAGTACGTCCAAGTACAAAGACGAATGGCCTTGAGGGTGGCGTGTGCCTACCGCACAGTATCTGCTTGCGCAGTTCTGGTGTTGGCCAGTATACCACCTATCGACTTAATAACGATGGAAAGAAAGAGGACGTACCTCGCCTTGAAGGAAGCACGACAAGCAGATAGTCATCTCCTTCCCAAGCAAATTGAGAGTATTAAAGCAGAAGCAAGGAAGTTGCTCCTTGAAGAATTGCAAGGAAGATGGGATGGGGATGTGGAAGGCAGATGGACTCATCGGTTAATTACTAACATCGAGAGATGGGTTAGACGAAGATTTGGGAAGGTGAGTTATTACCTCTCCCTGGCTCTTACGGGACATGGAGGATTTAATAAATACCTCTACGATTTCAGGATCGCAGAGAGGCCCATATGTAGTCTCTGTCACGCAGACATAGATGATGCAGAAGACACACTATTCCAATACAAGACATGGGACGCGGAACGAGATGTTTGGAATGTCAACCTCCAACAAGT